ATATAATTTATTTGTAACATTATAAATGTCTTTAGTATCACTTTTGATCAGTTTAATGCATTTGATGTATTACTTTCCCCCATAGATTCCCATTATAATTTATCTCTTTGCCCAACTGATGAAAGACAGATTCACTCTTACAGAGTCATTTGTTAGAAATGATGTTATTTGTATTCCGTGTGTGTGTGTGTGTGTGTGTGTGTGTGTGTGTGTGTGTGTGTGTGTGTGTGTGTGTGTGTGTGTGTGTAATGTTGATCAAAATAGAATCCAACTTTCTATCTTGCTCCTTACACTACTTTTTTTGTTGTGTTTTTTGTTTTCCTTCCTTTCATTCCTCTCCTTCTATTATTTCTGACTTTTGACCAGATCTTCTCTCGTCTATAATATGTTTGACACAAAATATTGTATGACTACAAATAGTCAAGCAATATTTTCTGTCTCACTTGCATTTCCAATAGCTTTTTTTCTCACACAAATTCTTTTAATAATTATTTTTTTTCTCCCCAAGAAAACCAAAACTGCCAGAGTTGTGGGACAGTTTTAAATGTGCTCAGTGCCTATGTCTCTTTTTATTCTCTCTCTTCTCTTCTGGCTCACTATCGCTCCTTTGCTGTCGCTCCGGAAAGGCTGCTGTCACCCTCTATTCTGTCGTCCTTTTCCTGCTGTTGTACCTGCCGGAGCAGCTTTCATATCTCTGCAAATCCCCAAGGACACTTTCTGTCTTCATCTCTCTAATTTTCTCTGGCTCCCTCTCGCACATGAACTGTATTCCTGCACATAGACTTCAAAGAGAGAGGGGCACTGCAAAATTTGCTGAAGGATACTCACTGTTTATGATGATTCAGATGCTGTTTTTTGCAATATGTAAAATCAAGCCAGGCTTATGGTAACATTAAATGTGTAGGTGTTACAGCAGGGGCGCAACTGCACATTTGCTGAGGGGTATGCAAGATCAGTGTTGGTGCCCCCCTATATTCTAGTTGTCAGAAAAGCCCATTAACTAGCTTGTGCATGGATACAAACTCATCAGGAGTGAAAAAAGTGACAAAAGGTTTGAACCCCCTTCACCCATTTTCAATACCATAGGGAAAAAAAAAAGTAATAAGTAAAAAAAAAAGAAGAAGAAGAATTCATAATTCATAATCCTGTGAAACCTTTTTTGGCTGTTGACATTAATAACGTGTTTTAATGTCGGTAATAGCCACCAACAACGCATCTAATGTTCTCTCTGACTTTCCATGTTCCCTTACAAATATTAGCCATGGTTTTATTATGAATAAAACCAAAAATCATGGTTCTTGTAGCCATGGATGGTTAACCACAAATTAACCATGGTTTTTACTTCAAATAATAATTTACATAGAAGCATTAAGATAATATTTTTGTGGTTATAAAATCAGACCTAAGCTAACAACAGCCTTTAAAATGACTTAAAATGCATTATATAAAACAATGAAGCAATAATGGTTGGTTAATTAATAATTATATGGTTTCATTAAAATAACACTGCAAATACATAATGTAATACAAAATAAACAATTTATGTACATTACATATTATTACAAATGCCTGCAAGAGCGCCAAAGGCCTGGTAATTGCTGCTGTTACAATACAGGATGATCAAGTCCTTTATATTGACCGAACATTTAGGCTAATTAAAATATCCACTTAATCTTTAATTTTTGGCCACCTTTTTGCAATAGAAATACTACAGCCTCTATAATTTATAAAACAAAAACATGTGGACATCACAACCCTTACAAAAAACAACCATGGTTTTATCGTTGTAAAACTGCTTAGTTTTCTTTTGCATGATTTCTGAATGCTTGAGACTATAAAATCAATCAGACAACTGTATTAATGGGGGGCACAGCAATACGATTCTGCTTAGGGCACCCATTTGGCCAGCAGCGGCCCTGGGCTAAATACTTTATTAAACTCTTTAGAAAATCTAAAAAACGTTAAATAAAAATGTTTCATTACATTATTTTTAACAACTAAGCTTTTCATTATTTATAGCGTTTTATTAAAGAAGATTTTCACAGAATGATTTTGGCAAAATGGCGCCCCCCTATGCACTGCATATACTGCATACCCCGTTTTTGCACCACTGTGTTACAGTTATACTTTCCAATGCAATGTGTGAAAGCTGTATATGTTAAACATTTTTAAACATATTTTCCTTTTGCTTTTACAAACTAAGGGGCAAGTTTAAAGGTTTGTGGGTTTGTTTTTTCCTCATTAAATGAGATTTTTAGCTGAAACCATGGTCCTTTGTGATTCTTAAAGTGCAAGTCAGCGGCTACCCTTCTTTGAGGAAAAAAAGGGATATCATGGAGCACAAAATTTATACCCGTGGCTCCCGGCAATATATTTGGGTCTTATGAAGTGAAAAGATCGGTCTATGCAAGAAACTGAAAATTATTACCTGTAATCCATAGCCTCAGGCAGTTGAGGAAGTCCAATTATTTTCCACAAACTGGTTCAGTTTTGGGTGAACTCTCCCTTTAATTGAAATAAAGCTGAAATAAAATACAAATATTGAAGTTAAATGAAAAAATAAATAAAAAACAACAATTTTAAATGCTTAAAACCTTTAAAACAAATAAAGGAATTTGAAGTACTTGCAGCACCAAAACAGGTAGTAAAACTGTCAATATTTGTGTTTTCAAGATAGACCAAAGGGATAAATGATTTTAAGGTGAATTTCTAGGTGAAGGCATAACTCACTAGATTGCACCACATTTTTTTTATTTGTTTTTAACCCACACACACACACACAATCAATTAAAATCCTCAGCTGCACAGCATTAACCTCATTATAATCAAAAGTAACTAATAGTGATTTGCAAGACAAAAAAGGTTCAGTCAAGTGTTCATTTACACTAAGTGCATGAGCATGGTTCTGTGCTCTACTCTGGGCCTCCGATTCTGACTTTGCGATTGTGTTGGTCCTCAGAGCAACTCGGCATCTGTTTTGACAGGCTGTTGTGAAACTTTGAGGACGTGTGTGCCATGGGATGAGTGAAACGAGCATTGTCAGTGTTCCTGAAATGAAAAGCGTTTTCTCCGTTTTCATTTGCCATTCAGTGCACCTCTGTTTTGTCAGGAAAATTGGGTTGTTGATTCACAACTGGGATGTTTCTTTTCAAACTCAGTGTCTGACTCTCTTGCTGTTCGTGAAGAGGATGATAATTTGTGTGAAAGATGCTCTCAAGAGATATTTGTCATAATGAAACTGGATTTGGGGTGCTGTTTTCATTTTCACTCTTTCTGTAAATGTGTAATCAGGAAACTTCTATGCACTCTGAGAGTGTAGATGTTTCTGCTATTCATGTGTCCCTGTTTCTTCTTGCTATAAAAATAATATGTCTAGAGCCTGCCCTCACCTGTTTTGTCAAAAATGGGCTTTGTGTAGAAACATGTAAATTAATTGGCTTTATTACAGTGAAAAATATTATTTAACATTCTGCATGCTTGTTTTTGTGAACCTTTTAGTAACATTTACATTAAAAAGTAAATCTGTTTGTTCAGATGTAACATTTGAAAAGTCTGATTCGTTGTAGTGATTTATTGTTTTGAATCAGTAGGTTCAGATGTTTCTGTCCCTCATATCATGTAGCATTGGAAAGTCTGATTCATCTGAGAGCTAAAGTCCCATTAATTTTATTGAATGCGTTCAGGCCCTGTACATTCCCTGTGCTATGTTTTGTAAAAACATAGTTATGTAAAAAGGATTTTTATTGTTGTTTAGGAAATATTTACCTCTTCAGTTTTGATACTTTCAGCCTTGGGATTGTTCATTCATTCAAAACCCCTCACTGTTTGTTTTGTTTCAGAGAGACGAATTATAGTCTGTGTCCAAAAGCTTAAGACTTGTTGCCTCACTTTCCTATCAGGCTTTATAGGCAACGTTTGTGCATGAAGGTACCTCCCGAAACTGATTTAGGACAGAGTTCTGAGGCAGCATATTAGTTTAATGATCCACAACAAAATAGAGAGAACAACTAGCAACTAAGTAAATGTGTAATTAGCCTGCTTCAATACTAATTGTGCGCTAGTAATGACATTACAAGTGGAAAAGTTTGGCCCAAAGTGCACATGTACAAACAAACTGACCAAAAAATTGCAACTTTCATTAGTTTATTGGATAGTTATTAGATCTTTTGTTTTCTTATGAATATTGTCCCTATTCATGTCCAATTTTTGTAGCTTGTAGTGAATCTTAACTTTTTCAGAGCAGTAGCTCAACTCAGACTACTTTAAATTAATAGTAGTTTGTAACTTGGTAAACTACATTTTCAAAGAAGCTTCTGGTATCTGGATCTATCCTGGCCATTTGCTTGAAAAGTTCAGGAGTTACTGATGTAAAGCCAAAAAAACATTAGAAACGGTGTTGTTGTTCTTCAACTCTGCATGCAATTTGAGGCAAGGTGATCACCACCTCAGGCAGAAAATTAAGTTTCTGTGTCTTTGTTTCTCTGTCTGTCTCTCTCTCTCTCGTTCATTCTTCTGTTCCTGTAAGTTGCAGTCTCTGTATGTGTCTACTTCCATCTGTTCCCTGTCTCTCCATATCACTTCCGTTCTTATACCTCCTGCCTTACTTTTCCCCTCTGTTGGGTTTCTCCTCTCTATCCTTCTTTTAATGTGTTGCGGTGCAGTAATCGCTGAGAGCTGTGTCATTGCACTCAGCAGCTCTTTTATGATGCTTCTCACTTGCTCCTTGTTCCTCGATCGACTCGTGACGGTAAACTCTAAGTGACTTGACGTGGCTTCAAACTTGCTTCCTCTGGAGACTTGTTACATCACACGATCTGTTATTTTCAACTCTCTCTATGTGGTCGCATGTGTCAGTTGCATCATTTTTTTTATATAAAAATGGATCATTCTCAGCGTGAATGGTTCTTGACATTGTGACCGCTCTCTCAAAATCACGGTACGGATTATTAGAAAACTGTCAGTTTCAAAGCACCTTTCTGTCTCTCTCTCTCTTTCTTCAGCGTGGAGCCGGGCTGGCAGAGGGTGGTTCAGGTGGATCTGGAGGTGGACGGTGTCGGAAGTACGGTAGGCAGCAGGTCCATTTCCTGGGCGGTGGAATATCCGGGCATCAGGGCCAGCAATGAGGAAACTGAGACGCACATCCACCTGGCACAGAAAGACCTAGTTGGCATCGTGCCGCTGGCTATGGTGAGAACATCGTCATTTCGGCGCTCTCAGGGAGGCGCTGGGTCTCTTCGGGGAGTTCTGGGACTGACAGATAAAAGAGGCAGGCGGTCAAGCTTTTTAGTTGACTTTGATGTAATGTAAAAGAAACCGTCTGGGTTGTCATGACCATTTTTTCGGTTTAGCATAATCTCATGTTTTAAAAAGCAATGGTCCAGTAAAAATCTTGAAGACACGAGTGACCAGAATCAAATATTTTAAATTACAACTACAATTATTTTGATATTCTTAAACAGTTTGCATTCTACACTCTCAGAAAAAAAAATGGCACAATAGCTGTCACTGGGGCGTATCCTTTCAAAAGGTACTAATAGATGCCTAATATTAACTCTCCCCACCAGAGTATTACTTTAAGTCACCAGCCACAATTTTTATTTATTTATTTATTTATTTATTTATTTATTTATTTATTTATTATTTACTTAATTACTTACTATATTACTATATGAATATTGTGTACAAAGTGAACAGCTGAATAATTAAGACATGTAAATGTATGAATACATACACATACACATTGGGTGTATAACATACACCCAAACACCTATATATATATATTATATAAGCATGCATACACACGTATACATACACATACTGTACATACAAACCCCTTATACATTGTACTGTGTATGCTCGCAAATTCATAAATGCATACATACAAATGCATACATACCCACATATGCCTATATTCAGACACTTGACTGTGGAAAATAATTTAACTAATTAGAACATAGAATATATGAATAAAAGAAAAGTTACTAGTGACATTAACACCACTTATCTCTTAGGATACTACTTGTTTCCTTTAATATTAACATAAGCAAGAACTAAATGAAGGTGGTAACACACTAATCTGATTGCTGGATATCATAGTTTCTTGTCAAAAAATTAACAAACAATATATACAATTATTTGAAACACTTAGAGTGCACCCCTAAGCTTGACCACTAAACCATTAAGAAGTTATAAGTCAGGATTGTGAATGATTTTATAGGGTTCCATATTTTTACAAATATATTTTGTCTAACTAATATCTTATATCTAAGCTCTTCTAGGGGTAACACATAACTTAAGCCAAATTTCAAATATAGGCACAGACTTCCATTTCTGTAAAACTGCCTTCTTTGCTAAGATCATACATAAAGAAACAGCTTGTGACACATATTTACATCCTATGCCCGAAGTATCTCCAAAAATGCCCAGTTTTGGTCCAGGTGGCAAATTGATTTTATATGCTTCTGAGATGAATCTGAATATACTCTGCCAGAATGGCCTGATTTTATGACATGACCAGAAAGCATGAGACAACATACCTTCAGAGATTTTACATTTGTTAGAGGATACATTTGGATAAAATGTATGTAGTTTGGTTCCTTTTCCCAATCTTGCCTAATATGATTAGTGTTTATGTTCACCTTATCTAGTAGTAAAGCATAAAAGTGAAAATATATCAAAAGAAAGAACAGAGCTTCATTCATTCTTTTTTATCAACACACAACAAAAAAAAAAAAGCTGAGAAAATTGCACTGGTGTCCAAGACTTCATCTGGATCGGATTCAGAATGATGAGCAAAACATGAATTATCCAATTGTCCAATTGCACCAACACCTCCAAATCTTGTTTACTTCTTCATGGGCACCAACATTTTTCTTGGTAACATTTGCTATTTTGATTTATATGCTGTTGAATGTTTGGTGATCATATAAACTTACTTGTGCGTAAACAACTTCTGTCATTGCCGCCTGGTTTACACAGATCTTTTTCGCTTGTTTTGGATTAGGAATGTGCTGTACCATTTCAGAAGATCCATAACTGCACCACTGAGTGAAAACACAGATTGCTGTAATAAATGTCAATGTCGGGGAAGTGTTGTGTCGTAAATGATGGAAAATGTCATCAGTGGAGGAGAAAAAGTTAATGTACTAATATGTACACTTTAGGTACTAATATGCACCCTTAATTGGGTAAATAAATTGCAAAGTTGTGCCTTTTGAAAGGGTACCACCCCTGTTTTTTCCTGTGAGTGTAAATTTTAACTAATATTCATTAATTTTATCTTTGACAAGAGTTTTTTTGTCAAATAAAATTAGGTGTGAATACTTGTCATGTGGCAAATGAATTCGATTTTTGGTCTAGTTAATGGTGCTTGATTAATCTTCAGAAAACTAAAAAAAAATACTATAACTGCATGTTTTTAGGTGGTCTAATCTTGTATGTTGGTCAATTAAAGTTTTAAATCTAAATTAACCATGATTAAGTATTCATTTACAGGAATTATCCAATCTAAAGATCTCTCTTATTAAATCACATCTATTTTTAAGTTCACAAACTTAACAGTAAACTCACCAATACCTAACAACTGTTGTAATTCAAGAAAGTGTAACATTAATTTCTTATAATCATTATTAATCAGAACAATCAGTGCAGACGGAAACCATTTTAAGGACAGCTTGCAGGAAGGAAATGTGCTTATTGATGTAATACTTTATTATTTTTCTCTGATTAAGAGCACCATTCAGCCTTGACTGTGCTGAAGAATATTCAGAGGTTGCTTTGCTATTTCTTCAGATATGTGCTATTGAGGAGTTCCAGAATAATTACATTTCATTATTTTCATTGTAATTGTTCTTGAATCAAATTGGCTTGAAATGGTCAATTTTTAAAGAATGATATTTGAGTCATTTAAATTATTTTGTAGATCATTTTTTTGTGTATACATATGAATACACTATCAATCATGACCTCCTTTCTTGCTAATTCTTGTGTAATAATTATTAATCATAAGGAAAAATCAATGCGAATATGCAGTCTCCAACTGGGATCTACACAAACATCAATGGGTCTATTAATGAGAATGACAATAATAAATATATAGCAATTAGATATGTCACTTAAACTCTTAACTCTTCATGGTTAAGTGTGCTGTGATATGTTAAAATGTTTACGTTTGTCTAAATAAAGCAGATCAATGTCCATCACTCTTGATACACACTTCTTACATTTCTGAAATCAATAATGCTTTTTGTCCATTTGTCCATTCAATAATGGAATCAATTTGCTGCAGTCACTTGATTCTTTATGAATTATTTCCGATATGTTCTCTGTCTCCAATAGTTTTCCATAAGGTTGCGTAATAATTTAACCTAATCTAAGTAATAGACAAAATGGTATCTCATTTATAGGTAATCCAACATATGATACCTCAACATATTTGCATTTTCGATGAGGTATTAGAGAAATACAACACCTGTGATGGTTTATTAATTAATCACCCTCCTGTGCCCTCTCATCTGAGACACTGTTTGGCCATCTGAGGGACTTCAAAAGTCTTCAACAGCTGGGATTCAATGCTGCAGTGCTTGCTGTCACACTTCACTGTCCCCTCGCTAATCATTTGGCAGTTCCTGTGCCACTTGCTGCTTGTTGGTTCACCCCGTAATTGTCTGACACGTGGTTGTGTTATTTGAGGTCTAACGGGAGAGTTTTGGCGTGTATGAGGCTCTTGCTCCAGACTCTTTAGGGCAGAGTGAGTGGCTTGGCTATCGCTTAGCTCCAGACGAGGTCTCAAGTGGAGGAGCTCAGGGAGTCATGCATGACTAGGCAGAAGGACTTCTCTCAATTTTTGTGTTTTGGATGCTGAAGAGGCATCCGCTCTGTGTTTGCTGGTTTTTCATGTGCTAAATCGCTGGAGTTGAGCTGAGGTCTTGACGGTAATGTTTTATATGTAAATAGGCTACTAGGACTGTTCAATTAAAGATGTTATTCAGATTATTTTAAGATATAATTACATAATATGCTTATTATTTAATCACATTATTTGCATATATCAGTATTTGCTGATAAAAGCCCACAAATATTGCAGGAGACAAAATATTTCTCACTAGAGGAAAATTATGCATTGTAGAGTTCATGTACTAGTTAAGTTGTATAACTTGTGATTCCCTTTCAAGGGAATTTCGAACTGCATCCTCTAGGGGTCGCTATGGGGAACGCCTCGTCGTGACCCGTGTCTGAAGCATACATTCAATAAACACCAACAACATGTTGGCCGGCGACAGCCTATGACGTCACTACTGGTGCGACTATAGTATAAATAGCCGCCGGGAGAACACGTCATCCTCTTTTTTGTTTGAAGCGTGCATTCCGGTGGTAAGAGCGATCTTTCTTCCTTTATTATGGTGAGCACTAGCCAGACGTTTAGGAGATGTGTGCATCCTTGTCTTTGTTATTTGACACCTGATGACACACATGATCTTTGCGACTTTTGTTTGGGCGAAGAGCATGCACGCGATGTCCTCGAGGGGGCAATCTGCGTTAACCGCGAGTGTTTTTCAATGAAAAAGCTCCGCTCTCGTTTGTCTCTCTTTTCGAGGAAATAGGGGCAGCCGTCTGCTCCCTGCGGTTCAGGACCCACCGCTGCTGAGGCACGGAGGAGAATGAGGTCGTGGGGATCTCAGATGGATCTGGCTGATGAGTTTAAGGAGGGGCTTTCCCTCTCGCGCTCGTTGGCCGTGGACGAGGGTGAGCCGCTGGAGGATGATGTGATTTCCCTAACATCGTCTGATCCAGGGGCCAGTGCTCTGCTGGGCTCGGCCCAGGAAGAGCAGGAGATGTCTGAGGAGGGCGAAGAAGTTGAGGCTGAGCCCTCCCAATCCTCCTGCCCTGCGTATGAAATGGAAGAGGCCATTTTCCTCATGCATCTATCAGTTCCAGCATACGAGTAATGCCAACAGCGAGGGGATGCGCGAAAGCAGCTATGAGAAGATGCCCCCTGTAGAAGAGACACTGGCTAGCTATCTTTCTATGGGTGAGACATCCTCTCTTAAGACTCCCTCATTGCCATCTAAGCCCCTTCAGGATACATCTCGCTTAAATGGCAGGGCATACGCAGCAGCAGGTCAGGCTGTCGCTTCGTTGCACATGATGGCGGTGCTTCAGGCGTATCAGGCTGATCTACTGAAAGA